CATTAACTACAATTAAAATGAAAAGAAAATATAGCAATATAATGGAAAATATATATACAAATATATAATAAATAATATATATAATATTTAAACAAAATACTAGTTTTATTTGTGAAATATTTATTTGTGCAAATCTATTGTCTTACATCTCTACAAGTTACAATGAAGTAAATAGTAATCAATAGTGGTAAATAGTGATAGTATTAAGGTTTTCATTGGTCCCACAGCACTGTTGCTATGGTAACTTCCTCAGGTGAACATGATTTCTGTTCTTGGGCGTCTAATTGGCACTTGATGAGCTTGTATGGCTATTGAAATGCCATTTGAATACACTGTTGAGTTTGTGAACACAGCTTCTGCTTTCAGCTTCACACTCACGTGTTTCCTGGATGCTCGAGGATACAGATGGCAGACAGCAGTTTGACTACATCCACCATCATGTGCGGGACGTTTGGATTGATGGATCGGACGAGGAGAGGGATTCCTTCTTCTGACGTCAGCATGGCTTTGAGACCGTGCTGAGAGAGACAGACAGATGGAGAGAGACATTAAGAACAGTTTCCACGGTCTATATTACAGTATGAGCTCAGATCTGCTCTGACCTTGTTGTTCATGAACGCTTTGAGACATCGAATGATCTCATGTTGACATTTTACACCAATCCCAGCATTCCTGTGAAACACAGAGTGAGAGAGACAAATGCAAACATCATGCTTGAGGTGCATTTTAAAATCATTTGCATATTATAACATGGATTGTTGTGATCCTGGATGCTAATTGGCCAATACATTAACATAATATACAAGTATAAAAATACTAACCCTGTATATCCTACTGTATTATATATAATGAGCAAATTTCTAAAGCCTCTAAATGATCAACATGATCAAAACTTTGCTGTTGCTGAAGTTGCAACTTAACTTGATTATCCAAACATAATTTTTTAGAAAAATCAGTATCAAATGTGACCATCAGGCTTTTGAAGAACGTTTATTTGTTCATCTCTCAATCGTCATTATATTGCATTGATCATCAAACTACTGTAAGCATTTAAATATCATCATAAGACATATTATTGGAGATATGGAGTGACGACTGATATTTATATTATTTTATGTAAATATCTGCTATACTGTTATAAAGATCTCACTGATTTACATTATTACAATCAGAATTGCATACTTTTGTCCACACAAATATCAGCATCTGCACTAAATTGCATATTTTTGCTCGGTTTGAGTCTGTTTTTTTATGTTTTATGTTTTTCCACCATATTCTCCCTATATCAGACTATATGAGCCATAAAAGCCTGATGTGTCAAATAAGATACTCAACACATGCATTTTTTTTTTAGATTTGTTTTAATATTTTGTCTAACGGTTCAATAAGCCATTCAATTAAAATAATTAGATAATAATTAGAAATTATTTCATATGTCAGGCTTTACAGGGTTACGTGTCTAAACGAACCCTTTAGTCATGACTAAAATTACAATGGCATCTTAAGATTATATTGCAGCTCTAAATGTGAATGAAATATTGTTTCATATTTTATTGAATGAAATATTGTAAAAGTAGTCAACATTTTCCTTCAATACAGAATCACTCTTATATAAGATACATCTAGAAAATGAATGTGTGTGTGTGTGTGAGAGTGAGTGAGTGAGTGTGTGTGTGTTTGAGTGTGTGTGTGTGTGTATACTGTATTTATGTCATACAAAGGTTCTTCTCTCTCGTCTTGAAGTTTCTTGAGGAATGTCAGAAGCAAAGCCAAACCCTCGGCTCCAAACGTCTGGACCCAACTGAAACACACACACAACGATTAGCTGATATCAGACACATAGAAACACTTCACTGTAAGTGTGTGTGTGTACCTGACGGGGTTGTTGTTTAATGACACACGCAGTGACTCCAGGCAGCTCAGTAACTGTGTGTCTCTCAGATCGGTCTTCAGCTCCTGGATGTATATCAGCGCTGACTTCGAGCTCTCCTTCTGACTCTTACCCTAAAACACACAGAGGGTCGAAGAAGTTTACGGGATAATCAGGTCACTCGCCTGCAATGATGCTACAAAGCCTCATACTGCACATCAATGCTGCTGATTAAATGTGTTTCAGTGACACATGATCCTTCAGGAATCATTCTAATTTGCTGATTTTCTGCTCAAGAAACATTTCTGATTATTATCAGTGTTGAAAACAGTTGTGCTGCTTCATATTTTTGTATAAACTGACATTTTTTCAGGACTTTCAGGATTGACAGTTCAAAAGAACAGCATTTATTTGAAATCAGAATGTTTTGTAACATTTATGCTTTTACTGTCACTTTGAATCAAAGTATTAACACTATTCCCATTTCAAAAGGACAATTTAGACACTACAACACGCACATATTTATAGTGAATTTCATATTTCTACATCAAATATCGTATCTCTAAGTCAAACTAAACTAAAAGTAAAGTTTAAAATAAATACATACATGTGTGTGTATTTTATCTGTGTCTGGTCTGACTGGGTCAATATTACACTGGTGAAAAGATTCAATAAAATGTATCATAGTAAAACTAGTCCTGTGGCAGCACTAAGAAAGCAGATTCTGATCCAGAGCTGCAGTGTTCTCTCTGACATCTGCAGAGAAATCTGAAGCACATCCTGTGAGTGTGACAGGAAGAGCACCTGATCATGTTCAACACCTCAGAGACTCACTGATGGATTCAGATTCAGACAGAACGTCTGTGTGTTTACAGCAGAGGTGTTGATTCAGTCAATTCAAACTTAACTTTGAAAGACAGACAGATGGACAGATGTTGTGTGTGTTCTTACAGCATTGGAGGTGTGCAGGTACTGAGACACCATCTCTCTCTTGATGACGATATCCTTCTGCCTCAGCGGCCGCTGCTTCTCCTCATTCAGATTCATATCCACCTACAGACAGAGAGAGACGATTTTGTGAAGGAAAACAAAGAGAAAATATTGCTTTTAATTCATATTACCTTTTAATTGTTTGTTATTTTATTTTAAATAAATGAATAGATCCAAACAAAAAGGGTGTTTATCATGAATATCAATTTAATAATTTCAATCATTTTTTTTTTAAATAATGTATTTTATCATGAAAAATATTATATTTATGAGATTAATATTTATATTATTATTATATTTATATTACATATTGTTTTTAATACCATTAGTTTTATGGTTTTTCATATTTTTTTAAATATCCCACAACATTAGTGTGTTGTTAGTCATGAATTATGAATTTATAATTAATATTTTTTAATTCAATTTACTTTTAGCATGAAATTATTAATTGTTATTTAATTCATATTACAATTCTTTTAAATAAATAAATAGATGTTTTAATAAATTAAAACACAGAATGTGTGTTAATGAAAGAAGTTTTAAAAAAATGTAATTTGTAAAAATTTGCAACAAAATAAAGTTACAGAGTAAGTAAATAAAATAAATAAGTTAATTAATTTGTTAATTAATAAATCCTGATATTATTTTATTTGTATTGGTCTGACTGGGTCAGTATTGGAAAAGTAAAAAAAAAAATGGAAGAAAAAATATATAAAACTATATTCTTGAAGCATTATACGTGCTGCTTAATTATATTCTTAGCAGCTGCTCTCTTATTATATGAATCTTGTGTGTAGACTGTCCTCATTACATGATTCTGCTTGATACAAATATGAATCCATAGACATTTGGCAAGATGCATTTTGGCAAAGTTTTAATTTGGCCAGCTGCTGAAACATCATGACAACTCTTCAGACAAACGCAAACACACATGTGAGCGTGGCGTCACACGCTTCCTCTGGCTGTGACAGGAGTGAGTGTGTGTGACGTCAGATCAGTTTCTGAGACACACAAACACTGATCCGAGGTCAGCCGTGATCAGACGTGAGGCAAAGTGTGCGCTACAGACACATGGTGCAGGGTGAAGGGTTAAAGGTCATGGTGGTGATGTCAGTGGGGAGGTGACAGAGAGACGGGGAAGAGTGTTAAAACACACAGAACACACGCGTGTGCACCTACCTCATCAGGAATCAGCCGTTTGAGAGTCTGTACAGGGAGCAGGAAAGAGAAAAATCAACACTAAATACAGAGAAAGACAACAAAACTGTCAGAGAGAGAGAAAGAGAGAGAGAGAGGAAAACGGGTGGAAAAGAAAGAGTAGGAAAAGGAAATAGAAAAGTAAAGTAAAGGCATCCTGGGCCATAAACTAATCAGAATCTATTTAAAAACTATATTAATGCAATAGAATGTCTATATTATTGAATTTGAGACAGAAAAAAAAACAAATTTTTTAATCAAAGACATTTTCATTTCACATTTTCTAAAAACTAGAAACTTCTGCTGTTAAATGGAGATTACACAGTAGGGCTCCACGATTTGGAGGGAGGAAAAAATCAATGTTGCACAAGCATAATCCTGCCACACGAGGGCAGAGCAGCTCAGCAAATAAACATCAGCGCATCACTTCCTCTTCCCAGGAAATCAACAGTCACCTGCTTATAAACAGGCGTTTCTATGGTGACCAATAAAAGCAATGCAGATTCTCCAAATGTTACTTGAGAATCTGTGAGTGAGAACATGGAATGCGATAAGAGACATGACCTTTTGACCTCACAAAACAAAACCAGCAGGGATCACATGACCTGTGGCACAGAAATGTGGATAACATTGTCACAGGTATGTGTACATGAAATACTCATATCGCCACAGAGAGATAAAGAAATATCAAAATATCACTAAATATCAGTTGAAATGCTACTAAACTTTATTCCTTTAATAGATTATTTCTGTTTAATCTGCAGTTATTTTAATAATGTACTACAGATATATATTTTTAATGGAACTATTCACTATTTCCCACTGTTAACATCTACGCTGGAAACACTGATACTGCCAATGTGGTTTTGTCATGCCAATAACATAACATAACATAACATAACATACATATATGTTATATGTTATAACATAAAAAATATATAACATAACACATAACATAACAACACAAAATAAAATAACTGAGCATAACAACATAAAATAACATAACATAACTTAAAATAACTAAATAAAATTAAAAATTCAATACAAATACATTAAAAATATTAAATTAAAATGTTAAATTATAAATAAATAATAAATGAGTAAATTAAAATAAAATAATAAAATTAAAATTAAAAATAATAAAAATTAAAATATATAATAATAAACAGAATGGCAACTGTCCACTGACTTCACCAGTAGTCAAATAACACAAACTCTAGGTAAACGTGTGGAGTGACCATCAACATCCCAAAACTCACTCAACCTCCTTCCTCCTGCTCTCAGATACTCAGATCCAACTACCTGTGTGTGTGTGTGTGTGTGTGTGTGTGCTCAGACTATGACACATGCTTTAAAAATATAATCAATTCTCTCAATTACTCAGAAACACACTCAAACTCAATAAAAAGTTAATTCTTTACAGCTACACCCACAAAAATCACCAAGACACACCCACACACTCAATATAAACACACACACACACACACACAAGGTGAGAACATGGAACTGCATGAGACAAAATATCAAGAACTGATAAAAAATCTGCAATAGAATAGATTAGAATAGACTAGACTAGAATATAATAGAATAGAATTATTTCCACTGTTTTAAAAGTCTTTAGACACACACTTTACATATGGACCCAGAACATTCATCAGTGTCACCTTAATATGACCTCATGCATTAGATTAATGTAAACGTGTCACCCACATACATACATGCAGATTTATACAGGTTATACAAGTGTGTGTGTGTGTGTCTGAAAGCACCTGCATTTCTCATTCCCTTCTAAAAATAAAAACAGATATGAGCATTCTTGCTTGTGTGTGTGTGTGTGTGTGTGTGTGTGTGAGATTTCTGTCTGCTTGGTTTCCATGGAGACAAATGTCCATTTCGGTTTGCCAACTGAAGCTTGGGGAATGTGTGTGAGTTGAAATGATGTCATAATTCGGGCCCCACCAGACACGCCCGTTAAAGTGTGACAAGCCACTTCCTGCACAAAGTGCTCACAGGAAGTGTCACAAAGAAAGACACACATGCAAAAGCTGCATTAAGAACACACACACACACACACTAGCAGAGCATTGTTTCAGTCTATATAGGGAACAAAACAGCAGGATAATATCATTTAATAGGTCAGAAAGTTGAATTTAGTCAAAGAGAAAATTCAAAAATACAGTGAATGTCACAAAATCATGCCCATGTTTCTCTACACTGCAGTACAAATCAAACAAACAAAAAAGCATTTAATTGTATGAAGAAAATGAATTTGATGTCAGTAAGATTTATCTCATGCTCACCAAGGCTGCATTTACTTGATCAAAAATACACACAAAAATAAGTCATATTCTGAAATATTACAATTTAAAATAACCGTTTTCTATGTGAATATTATGTCAAATGTAATTTATTCCTGAGATCAAAAGCTGAATTTTCAGCATCATTACTCCAGTCTTCAACATCACATGATTGCGCTGCTTCATTTTTTGTTGAAACCATGATACTTTTATATTTTTAGGATCCTTTGATGAACAGAAAGTTTAAAATAACAGGATTTATTTGAAATTGAAATCTTTTGTAACATTATAAATGTATTTACTGCCACTTTTGAT